TGTTTAAGGGATTAATAATTTATCTACACAGAATTATTACTAGACAAGAAAATACGCGACTATAGAAAGAGTTACAGATCTAATGTCTATTCTGTATGCTTTGACGATTACATGACGGATGGAAAAATAACAGCACGGTGGTCAGTGATCAAGGATTAAAAAAAGAAAAAAAAAACCGTATAGGTCATTTGGAGAAGGGGGAAAACTACGTTGAAAGCAAATGTACTTTGAAATGATGTTTTACTGTAGAAAATTTAAAGCTAAAACTAGCTACATTAAAGTACGGCTCACAGAAAAGACTGGTAAGGATGAAGGAGAATAACATAGACAGTTACATGACAATATTGAAACTTTAAGCCAAATTTTTCAATGTAAAAATTAAACTTGTTTAGATTGACCTAAAGAAGAAGTCTTTACTGAAGAGCTGAGATTGGTCACGGCTAATGGGGAGAACTCGTAGCAAATATCCGCGGTTAAAATCTGAACTAAAAAGGAATCTTATTAGATGTTAATATAAAAGGAGGAGCTTTAATCCTACTTCATGTAAAGGCTGAGTCTGAGCTCCCCAGATCAAGGTAGGATTTGATCCTGTTAGTTTGTGATAAGCTCAACTATTTATAATTTGAACCACAACAAGTTTGGAAAAACGCGGTAAAAGAAACTTGAATAAAAAATAGAGAGCGACTTAAGACGTTCGGATCTCGGATTGGGTTTCAAGATAACTTTAACGGTCTACAATGCGAACTTCACCGCCTTTTAGGCTTCCAGTTCACAGTTACAGTTTTACCCAATCATTAATTTCTATAACTTCCGGCTTCCTGAATATTCCATCAGCTTGACCGAGTCAAACGCTCCCATTTGGTCATCTTCGTTTCTAGAAGGATTACTGCAATTTACTCTGAGTGTTCTAAATCGTTGAGTCATACCTACGAAGAAAATGCATGTTGGTTGCCCTGATTTTTCCCCGCCAAAGCCTAATCTATGTGCATGGAACCGGCCAAGGATATTTTTGTTGACACTGATAAAGGAATA